GCAAACTAGCCTTGGACTCCTTAAAAATGGACACTCAAAGGGGGCATTTTTGAAAAGGGGTATTGAAAAGAGGTATTTTTTAACAATTTCTCTTTTATCAAATAGATTTTAATTATATTAGACATTTTGTGAATAATAACAAAAGATAACACATTATTTATCAAAATATCAAAATGTTGACAAAATATCAGATTATTCATCTTAGATTTATTTTCTAATATTATAGTATTTTATTAACTAAAAATATTATTTATATTTATATTAACCTTAACTAATATCAATTAAAAGTAATATTAATATATAGTTTAAACTTTTGTATAATGGAGCTTGATATATAGATAATTTTATTTTATGAATTGTAGAAAAATAAAAAATAAAAAATAGTAACTTATAAACTATTTAATTGATATTATAAATCTTAGAGTAATTAAATTTAAAAATAAATTGTTAGACCAATCTAAGAGTGACATGTGTATGAGAGAGAGGATTTCTCAAAATTTCTCAAATGAGAAACGTGTCTCAGTTTTTTTGATTAAAATATTATTTTTTGTTTATTTTTAATATAAGTGTCTCCGTGAGACACCACTGATAGAAGTGCTCTTAGAAGATTAAAAAAGAGAGCATCCTTAGACGATGATAAGATGAGAAACAAAAAACATAAGTTTAAGGGAAATGCTCTTCATTCTCCAAGCAAATGTTGTTTTTTTTTTTTTTTTTTTTTTTGAAGCTACTCTTCATGGCGTTTTATAGTCCACTTTTAGAGTTTGAGTAGTAATATTTAAAGATTTGGTTCTAAAAATTGGATATGTATCTAATAGAGTCGTACTACAATTTTTGGAACCAAATCTGAGAAGCTTATTTCCAAAACAAGCATTAACTTTTGAATTTTTTATTTTTATTTTATTTTATACAATTCGATTTGTATGTACATAGTTTGGATTATTCGTTACAAATATTTTTGTACCGTTCAAATTATTTTAAAATTTTGTTAGGCTAAGGGTTTTGTTCCACCAATATTGATAAAATCTATATTAACATTTTGAATTATACTGTAATGAGAAACCTTTGTTTTATAAGATATTACAAAGATTTTCATTCAATACAAGGCAAACGTAATTAGCACAGAAATAACTTTACAAGGGTATACTTGAAAACAAATTTTCAAAGGCAAACGGAATCGGGTCGAAATGTATCTGAAAATCTTTGATCAGATATACACATAAACAATACTCACTTATATTTTGCTTCCAATCACTTAATCCTGTTTTGGTAGGATAATTCTAGGTAAGGAGAACAAATAAGCCCATTTAATTCTAACAATACATCTTGAAATCGAAATAAAAAATCAAGCTTTTCTACATTTGTTAGATAGATATCTATTTGTGATTTTTATGAAATTTGAAACAACCAAATCGACAACATTTATTTTTGAATTAAAAATCAATTTTTGTTTAATTTCTAGAATCAAATCACATCCTAACTATTGTTAACAAAACCGCGTACTAAATCTTTGTGAGAAGTTATAGAAAATATACCTATGTTAGTTTTCTATATGTACTGTAATTATTACATTTAATAGTTAAATGATTAAGCCAAACATTTTAAAAGTTAAGTATCTATAAATTATATTTGTGTCTCTAAAGTAGGCATGCCACTTTGATTTAACCGAACCGAACTGAGCTAGTTAGTTAGGTTTTCTGTTATTTAAGATTTTGAAAATTCTACCAAAATTAATTATGGTTCGATTCGGGTATCAGTTAATTTTGCTTTTGATTTTAAAAACCAAAAATAACCGAATTCTTAAAATTTTGTTCTTGATTTCAAAATGTTAGCGGTTTATGATATAAATTTGGGTTTTAAAAGCCTAATAAGAAAAAATATAGCCCATAATAAAGAAAATACAAGCTGGTAATCCATAAGGTTTTCTTCTTATTTGAAGCGGCTCATAACTCTCTCAACTCATGAAGAGTTTGCCCTAGCCGCAAGAGAAGATCAACCAGCTTTTATGGTGATTGGTTTCTTGTCGACAGACCAATTTTTACGGTGATCGGCGTTTTCAAATCAAAGTAAATTCTATGTATTTTCCTTTTCGATCTTCATCTTCTCCACCTAAATAGAGCCCGTAACATCGAAGAAGAAGATCATAGAAGAAGAATTGTAAAAGAAGACAAAGAAGATCAGAGGAGATTGGAGAAGAAGATAGAGAAATGACAGAGTTAGATTGTGGACAAACAGCTTTTTCGTATCTTACTCAATAGGTATGTTCACTTCATACCTTAACTATACGCCTGTGCACATACACATCCACCTAAGAAAAATTCAAAATTTACTACTTAATCACACTGTTACGTGCAAAAACATGCATATTGTTAGCATGAGATACCATGTCATTAATGTTTTTGTTTAAACTATAATCAATACACCTAAAATTTGAGACAAAACAACGTTGTTATGCTCTTATTCTATAAAACAACGTCGTTTTGTTTTGAGCCACCAATTATTTACTTCTCTTTGTTTTTCTTCTCTACTGGAATCACTATTTGGGGATTTTCCAAAGTCTAGGATTCTTTAATGGTATCATCAACTTGTTCACATTAGCATTTTAATTTTCTTAGGATTCTAAATTGTAGGTAGTTTTAATAGATTTAGAACTTGAACAACTTAAATACTAACCCGAACAAGTTGATGATGTCATTGTAGAACTCTAGATTTTCGAAAATCTCGAGATTGTGATTTCAGTTAAGAGGAAGAAAAAGGAGAAATAAAGAAATGGTGGTGGCGTCGTTTTGTCTCAAAGTGTAGGTATTTTGATTAAGGTTTAAACGGTGTAGTTAATGATATTAGCATCTACGTAAGTTATATTAGACATAATGTTAACAACATCTCGGGATATGCATGTTTTTCACAAAACGATAAGATTAGGTAGTGAATTTAAACTTTTGCGTAGTTGGGTGTGTACTTGCATAGACGTATAGTTAATGTATGAATTGAACATACCTATTGAATTGAGGTATGAAAACACCGTTCTTCCGTTAGATTGTAAGTTAGGTTAGATCTTTTAGATAACCGTTCGGTTACACTGTGTTGAACCGAACAGAACCGATGGAATAACCGTACTTATTGTCTATAGATGTCGATCGGTTTTCAGCCAATGACCGAACCCGAAACGATTTACCCGAATCAAGCTTCGGTTCGGTTCATGCTTTTATCCCATACCTACTATAAAATATATCCATAATATGTTCATATTCTTGCAAGGAATCAATGAATATAAAGTGAGATCTTGTTCAGAAATCAAAACAAATTCGAAAAAAAAATCGTTTATTAAGTTATCTTTAACACAAAAAACTCTCTCTGGCGTGACTATCGAGGAACCACTTTCGCCCATGTTTTCCGACGCCGGGAGAGCCGTTTCTCACCGGCGTCGGACCGTCGTTCCTCTTACCGTTCATCTTGGCTTTCTTGTGTTACCTTTGCTCTCGTTTCAGTTTTTCGCTTTTGTTCCCGGCCATTTCATGAGGCTTTTGAGGACCGCTCCTGATGCCATCTTTGCGCTCGGGTGGCTCCGTCGTGCGAGATCTGACAGCAACGTTTCATGTGCCTCTCTACCTTTGATTGGTACGGAGTGTCTCTTATCTCTCGCCCAGATCTTGCGGTGTAGAAGTTTCACCGCCGGCGTCTCTCTGCTCTTCTCGAAGGCAGATCTGTCCTCAATGATTCAACAATGGTCCTCTGTTTGCCTTGTCCGCCTTGGTGTCTCCGCCGCGTTTCCCTGCTACAGCAATCTAAATCTAACCCAAGCCTTCGCCGTTGGTCCAGTCTCCGCCGCATCTTCACTTCCCAAGGCTCATCTAAGTTCGATGTCGTCATCCGCTCCAACTACAACCCTCGTTTCAGCTAGCCGCCGCCAAGCTCCGGTGGATGCCCTAGGTCTTTTCTCGGTACGTGTGCTGAGATTGTATCCTTGTTGGGCTTGGTCCATACTTACTTCAGTATGGGCCCTTTTTAGGCTTAGTTCCTCCATGGGCTCAAGTTTTTGGTCCTATTATTTTGGATATTTTTCTTGGTCTGGATATACTTCTATCCTCCGTTCCTATTTGAAGCATCAAGACGCTCTGCCTCCACAGAGCCAATCTTCCTCCTGCCATGGTCAGGAGAGGTCTCTTGCTCCTTTTTCCTATTATAAGGAGAGTTTCATCACACCTTCATCCTTGCTTCCATGGCTCCTTTATTGTTGCCCTTATGTTGTGCGACCAGCTTTGGTTCTGGAAGGATGCTCTTCAGAGACCTCGCTCTCTGTTGGTTTCAACGGCTCTGCAAATTGGTGCTTTGTCACCCCTGTTTTGCTTGCCAACTTTGGGATTGTCTTGCTTGCCCTAGTGGCAGATTCAATCACGAGCAGCATATCACTGTCTATGTGTTGTGTTGTCCAAGGCGTCTTCTCACTTATTAGCACTAGGATTATCAAGGTTCAAGGACTCCGCGATAATGTTTTTTGTTTAAGTGCTAGGATTGCTTTGATCTATCCTCCTATCTACTACCCTTGTGTTTCGCTTTGCTCTTGTAGCAGCGAGTTTGATGGCTTTGAAGGCTCTGACCCCTTCTTTTGTAACATTTCCCTCTCTGAGGATGACTAGTAATTTATAAATGTTGGTGCACAAAAAAAAAAAAGTGAGATCTTGTTCTATGTAGGAAAGAGAAACTATTGTTTTTTCTCACTTTTTATCTTCTTATAACAACTAAACCCAAATCGATCATTTCACAACCCATAGTGTTTTTTTTTTTTCACTTTCTGGTGCTATAAATTCATAAATTTAATTTCGTTATCAAAATATGTTTTCATCATCTTTCTTATTTAAAGAGAAAAAAAAAAGTTGTCGTGATAAAAAAATTAGAAAGTTATATAAAAAAGTTGTCACTTTCTGGTGCTCCCTCTTGTTATATAAAAAAAAAAAAAAAAAAAAAGCAAAAAACTGCATCTTCTAGTGGACAAAAAAAAAAACTTCTTCTCGTAAAACCCAGCAGGATAGAAATAATCAAATAAGCAAAAGTAAGCAAGTAGCAGAGCAACTAGAAAGTTTAAAAAAAATAATTTCAGAGAAAGTTGACTTTGAGATCTTCGTTCTTACAAAACAGAACCAAACTTCGACAATGTCACTCATGTTTTCTTCCCCTGTCGTCACCCCAACCATCGGATCTTTCACCTTCTCATCTCGACGCTCAAACTACATCGTGATGTCCGCCGTCCGATCTAACTCGGCTTCGACGTGTCCTGTACTAACCAAGTTTCAGAAGGACTGTGCCACTCCTACACCGTATCTACGCAACGTAGCCAACGCCATTGCTGATGACATGCGAGCTGGTCTAGCTGTTGAAGGAGGAGGAGATCTCGATATGATCTTGACTTATGTTGACGCTTTGCCTTCTGGGTATTTTTTCCTTTCTTTTTTCTAATTACATTATGTTTTGTGATCTAAAGATGATTAAGTCTAACATTAAAACCAAAAACAGATGACTAAGTTTTTTTACTATATATGGAATGAGGATCTCACCAAAAATATATATGGAATGAGGAAGAAAAATAAATTTATAGTCTTAAGATTCAGCAAAAAAAACAAATTGTATAGTCTTAAGATTCTAATTATTCCATTTTAATGGATATATAGGAATGAGGAAGGGTTGTTCTATGCATTGGATTTAGGAGGTACAAATTTTCGGGTGCGTAGCGTGCAATTAGGAGGAAAGAAAAAGCGAGTCGTAGCTACCGAATCTGAACAAATATCTATTCCTCAAAAGCTTATGATTGGTACAAGTGAGGTAATAAATCAAATCTTTAGTATGTCAATGAGTGCTAGTTGTTTTAATAGAATGGCTATTGATTGAATGTTTTCAGGAACTCTTTGGGTTCATTGCTGCAAAGCTTGCAAGCTTTGTTGCAAAGGAGAAGCCGAGTCGGTTTCGGTTAGAAGAAGGGAGGAAAAGGGAGATAGGGTTTACCTTTTCATTCCCTGTGAAGCAAACTTCTATTGATTCTGGCACATTAATCAAGTGGACTAAAGGCTTTAAAGTGTCTGGAATGGTGAGTTTATGCGTTATCATTTCTTCTTTTCCCAAGTTCTTATAAGGCTCTAAATTCTAATAACCTTTAAAATGTTATTTGTAGGAAGGAAAAAACGTGGTTGCTTGTTTAAATAAAGCTATGGAAGCTCATGGACTCGACATGCGAGTTTCTGCTCTCGTATGTTTCTTTTTTTTTTTTTTGTCTCAAAACAATTGTAGATGGAATCGTATGTCTTGTGCATATTGTAAGGTTGTTGATGTTTGTGTGTTTAAGGTAAATGATGGAGTGGGAACATTAGCTGGAGCAAGGTATTCGGAAGAGGATGTGATGATCGGTGTGATTCTTGGCACTGGAACCAATGCTTGTTATGTAGAGCAGAAGCATGCAATTCCTAAACTCCAAAGCAAATCTTCTTCTGGAACAACGGTATTATAGAGTTTTATATATGTACTTAGGTTTGTCAATGTTCTCATGGAACAACGTATTATAAAGAGTTTTATATATGTACTTAGGTTTGTCAATGTTCTCATGCTTAAAACTGTTTTCATTTGGAATCAGATCATAAACACGGAGTGGGGAGGATTCTCTAAGGTTCTTCCGAAAACCATTTTTGACCAAGAGATGGATGCGAAAAGCCCGAATCCTGGTGAACATGTAGTAGAATTTTATCCTTTCTTTAATAACATTTATGTTTTTCTTTTTTGTTTTGTTACCGTCTGGTGCCACAACCCACAAGTTTTACAATTATTTACTGTTTGTGTGTGGATGAAGTTATATGAGAAGATGATCTCAGGGATGTACCTTGGTGAAATTGTAAGAAGGGTTTTGCTCCAAATGTGTGAAACTAGTGACTTGTTCGGACAATTCGTTCCTGTAAAACTCTCCACTCCCTTTGAACTCAGGTACTTCTCTCTCACAATCTTTCTCCAAGTCCAGTAATTGCTTGTGGTTTAGTTAGGGATGTGCAGTTTGGTTTGTGGTTTGGTTTCGGCTCAATATAATGCTTTTGGTTTAATTTGATGTAATTTTGTTTATCTTTGCTTTAGATAAAACGAAAACAACTATTAAACTTTAGTGCATTTATATCAAACAAGAATCGGTTTTGGTTAAGTTTTGATGTTGGCTCAGATACGATTTCGGTTCCTACGATTTTAAACCAGGAAAACCAGTATGGTCACAAACACATTTCGATACGAACTTTTTGGTTCAGCTTTGGTTTATATGCTTATCCTTAGATTCAATATCCTAAAATCATATACTATCTCAAAGTGGCCGGGGGTTTTTGCCTTTTAGGTAGGGCGGCCTTTGAAACTTGATTAGCTAAGAAAATGTTAAAAGTTCCTAACTGAAACTTTGTATAGGACCGAGCATCTATGCGAAATGCAAGCGGACACTACAGATGATCTTCAGACGGTTGGATCAGTCCTATACAACATTTTAGAGGTAAGTTGTTGTTATATTACAAGGAAATTAATGACATCCAGAGATTGGATAAACTGTATAAACCAGATCGAGATATTGGAAACAGGTAGAGGCAAATCTGCAGGAAAGGAGGAGAGTGGTGGAAGTGTGTGACACAGTAGTGAAACGCGGAGGGCGTCTAGCAGGAGCTGGTATAGTGGCAATTCTGGAGAAAATTGAAAAAGAGACCAAAAGAATGGGTTCTGGTAAAAGAACCGTTGTGGCTATGGACGGTGCACTATACGAGAAGTACCCACAGTATCGAGAGTATATGCAAGATGCACTAGTCGAGCTTCTTGGCGATAAGCTAAGTCACATTGCGATCAAACATACCAAAGACGTGTCTGGGCTCGGTGCTGCTCTTTTGGCCGCCACTAACTCCATTTACTAGTACTTGAACCTCTAATTCATGAGTTATAGACTTGGTCCATTTGTTTGTGTACATTATATTTATATGTATATCAATAAGATTGTTCAGAGGACTAGAGGAGTGACAAACAAGAAGAGAACAATAGAAATTCATTTTCTTTCTTGATGACAAGATTAATAATTTTGGATAAAGATCTATCCCTATTTGCTAAATGAAACACTCTAAATGACTTACAAGTTCTGAATTATGACTAATCAATGTTATAATCACACATCTTAGGGCTTGGCAAAATATCTATAGTATTTTTATTCAATTTATCTGCTTTGATCTGATTCGAAAAATACGGACATTTGCAAGTTTATAAAGGGGATCATGTTTATAAAGTCAAACAAATACTTAAATTTAATATCCGCCAGAAACAAAGTAAATCACAAGTCTTAGATATCTGCTCCGCTCTGAATACATAAATTTTGTGTAAATAGTTGTTTGATTAAAAATTTATAGAGAAAATTAACATATATATCACATTTGGCCCAATTCTTTTTCCTTTACCACATTGCATACCCATTTATCATTCATACCACAATTGTCGAGTGTAATGACTATTTTGCCCTTCCTTTTGTGTGCTCAAATTTCGGGGACAAAATTCATTGTTTCAGCACAAAAAAGGAAGTTTACATGCAGTTGTTCCCTAAGTTTTAGCCTTCTACAATTTCATCTTATTTTTGCATGTTAGCTGGTTTTTGTCACTCGATTTTAATTCATTGTTCTTCGATTTTGATTCTCATAAATTCTAATTGAGGTCTTTTCATTTTGTTCGATGTTTATATTTCGTTTGATTAGTGTTCCCGAATATGTTTATTGTCCCCCATAATCCATATATTTGTCCTTAAATGTTGCACTTTATCTGTCACATCACCTGAGAGAAAAACTATTTTTTTTTATACCATAATACCACATGAATGTGGTATGAGTGGAAAATGATTATTAAATGTGGTAGAAGTGAAAAGGTTTTGGGCAAATGTAGTAGAATTGACCAAATTCTCAAATTTATATACACATATAAACAGCATAGTTAATTATTTATTATAGACACATGTATCTTGACTCTTATATTTGTACAAACTTTCATTTATAAATTGACTATAAAACTATACTACTTATAAAAATCTAAGAAAAAGAAATTGGAATAAGAATTTTAAAATAAAATTACAATTTATTATTAGTATTTTTTTAGTTTTTTTTTCAACGGCTTTCTGATTAGTTCTAGAATGGATACGAATAAAACAAGTGATTTCCGTTCCGCACCCACCCCTAACAAAATTTAATTTCACACCTCTTTTTGTTAAAGAATTATTATTATTTTTTTTCACAAATCTTTTCTAGCTCTAAACTTATTTTTCTATGGTCTCCTAAATCAATTTTTCATAAAAAAAACTCCAATTTTGACTGGAGAGTTGTCTTAAGAACCCGATTTCAAAAGGTCGTAAAAAATTCAAAGTTGAGATCTGAAAGAAGAAAAATCGAACCACTTCTCCTCTGAATTCTCCATTAGATTTCCAGAGAAATGGTACTGCTTTGTCTCTTCTTCACCACTTTGTTTTTGATGTCTAACGCTCAATTTCTGATCCATCTCGTTCTCTCTCAACTTTTTCCAGATCCGTTTCATATTATTGCAGAACAGGCAAGGTAAGACTCGTCTTGCCAAATACTATGTTCCTCTCGAAGAATCAGAGAAACACAAAGTCGAATACGAGGTACTAATTTCAAATTCTATATCCTTTTTTAGGTTTTTGTTTCTGACTCTTAATTTTTGTTTCATAGGTTCATAGGTTAGTGGTGAATCGCGACGCAAAATTCACCAACTTCGTTGAGGTTTGTTGTTTTGATTTTAAAAAAATTATCATTTTTTGAATCAGATTTTGCATAACAAAGATTAGGGCTCTTCATATAGACATTTACACTAATCTTGATTGATTTCAAAAGCATTGGCTTGTTGAAATTGTGAAAATTTTCTTTAATTGGGGCATTAACATTGTTGTTTGAGATCGAAAATTCGGAATTTAGACAATGAAGCTTGAGTTAGCTTCGTTTATAACTCCATGTCGTAGTCGGTATCAAGATCTTTATAGCAAAACTCGATATAGCCTTAGTGAGACATGACAATGTGATTAAGAACCAATATTTTGGAATGGATAACATTCCTGATTCAGGTTTTGTATAACGAGGTTAGGGCTATCGATACTGGTACAGTATAGGGACTAAGCTATTTTGATTGATTCGAAGAGCATTTTAGACTGCGAAAATTGTCCTCAATCAGGATATTAACATTGTTGTTTGAGATATAGATAGTTCGATATATAGACATTGAAGTTAAGTTTCTAGCTTTGATTATTATTTTATGCCCTTGTCGGTATCAAGACCTTTCTAAAGAAAGAGAAATCTCTGTCTTATGACTTATGAGACGTGAAAATGTGATTAAGAACCGATTTTCTGTCATTTTCCCTAGTGGGTATTCAACATTCATTGTGAATCTGTCATGTATAGATACTGAATCTGTCTTGCAATCATTTCAGTTTAGAACACACAAGGTAATATACAGGCGTTATGCTGGATTGTTTTTCTCCGTGTGCGTGGACATAACCGACAATGAGTTGGCTTACCTGGAGAGTATCCATTTGTTTGTGGAGATACTAGACCATTTCTTCAGCAATGTTTGTGAGCTAGATTTGGTGTTTAATTTCCACAAGGTACTCTCTTTCTTACTCTTATCCTTTATAAGTAGCTTCTGGAACTGCTTCTTTGGATTCGTAACTTTAAGTTGTGATGGTGTACAACAACTGGTTTTGAATAAACCTGGGAGTCTTTTGGCTGCTTAGAAGTTTTGAACTAGTTTAGTGAATTCTCCCTGATGTTTTTAATGGTTTTCTGAAAATTTTCATATATTAACCTTACAAGGGCCTATCAAATTAAGCTTGTGTTTGCTAAAATCAAAAGCTAGTTTCGTTTTCTTCTCATTATACTTGTCTCAATCATAAGCTGACCATCTTGACCCCGTAGATATATGTGTATGCGGGCATTAAAATAGCGTTCCCCATTTTTGTCTATTTGTGTAGATGCTACTGTGTCTCTAGATTTGATCTGTGTTTGTACTCCAATAATTGCTTACTAATTCCCTATGACTTCAATCATAAGGTTTACTTGATACTCGATGAATTCATTCTTGCTGGGGAGCTCCAAGAAACAAGCAAAAGGGTAAGAAATTTTGTTTCAAGCTTTTCTCTTTCACAGAAACGTATCACACATGCTCTTGCTCAATCGCTGAACTTTTATTGTCGGGGACAACTATTAATATGCAGGCAATCATCGAAAGGATGTCAGAACTCGAGAAGCTACAGTGATGACTGTTAGGAATCACTTTCTACTTGGTTAACGCATGCCTACCAGATGTTTCTTGGCATGTTCGGAGATTTGCAATACTTTGTTGAGTTGTTAGACAATGGTGTAGTGTTAACATTGTGAATGAATATAGAGTGATTCTGCGAAAGATCATTCATCCAACATTTGTTTATCTGTGAGATTTTCATTTCAACTAGTGATGTTACTATTTATTTCGCAAACATTATAAAAAATGTGAGTGAACATATTCCAAGTTTCTTTCATGAATCGATATCTCGGGACAGCTTTAAAATCTTTGGCGATCTTGTCTTCTAAACCATTTTCTGCTATCTCTGCCAGTGACTGGCCTATGCTGATACCCCAATCCTTCTTTGTTCCTCCATTGATAAGACTCATCAAGTCACATAAACTCTTATACTTAGTGACAAAACACAAAAACAGACCAACCCAACTCTTAAACTCTAACAATTTAGACTTACTAAGCTTCAAACACAACCTTACCGAGAGAGAGACTTTGTGAGTTCCGTAATCAATCAAACGCACATGAACATTAACACTAATCAATATATAGGTAACCAAATCAGTCATGGATCTGTAATGCCCCTAATACCATGGCTCTGTTCAGTCTATCGAGTCGAGCATTTTTCTCTGTTCTCCTCACAGTTTCGCTGAAGTTCCGAGAGCTCTCTTCCATAACTCTGACTTTGCTCTAATCAAGCAATGGAATCACCAAAGACTTATCATTTCTGCCCCTAATACCATGATACTGTTCAGTCTATCGAATCGAGCATTTTTCTGTAGTGTTCTCGCAGTTTCCCTGAAGTTCCAAGAGCTAGCATTCAATAGCTTTGCTCTAATCAAGCAATGCAATCACCAACCTTTAGTAAAAATTCAACAACACCATTTCTATATTCCACCTAGAAAATGCTAAAATTTGAACATCACTTAACCTAAGTCCTCAAATTCTTCTTAGATAAACAAAACAGTTCCACAAAGAGGAAATTTGCCAAAAGGTTTCATCCATAGATAAAAAGACAAGACAACAAGTGATAAATGAAAGGAGAAAGATCAAATCTTTGTCTTCTTGGGTTTCACAGGACATATTACAGGAGAAGCATCATCATCATCGCTTTCTTCTTCATCAGACAAGATTTGGTCAGGGACATCATCATCTGGAACATTATGCTTAGTGATAAAATCTTTAAGTATCTTCATACTTTCTTCTTTCATCGAAACCAATTGGTCCAATACAGTATTACCCTTGATTGAATCAATTGTGAAGCTCTCTGTCCCAAGCTTGAACTCGACTTTAACTAGATTCTTCCCAGGGACTGAAACGTGACTCTCAGTCTCCATGTCAACCCTGAAATTAAAACTAAAGAAGAAGAAGAAAATCAAAATTACAGCGTTGTAGGCGAAGAAGAACCCTAATGAATTTTAATTTAGCTTCGGTACCTCAAGGTTTTTATTTGGGTGGAAGAAGAAGGAAAAGGCCGATGAAGCCGACAATGAATTAATTATGAGCGATTACAAAGTTTTGCTTTACCAAATAAGAACCGGTGGTTCGATTATTGCAAAAAAATATATAAATTTTGAGAAAATTCCTCAAAAAAAATTCAACTTATTTAAATTTTGGAAGGACAAAACCTGAATTTTTTTTATTGCCGAAACAAAACACATACTATTTTATTAATGTCAAAAAAATCTAATCTATTGTTTGTTTCCAGTTTCATTTTGTCGCCGTTACAAGAGTCAACGCCGTTGGCTTTGAACTGTCCTTAACTATTTAGGTGCATTCTGTATACTCCATGGATCATGCTCATCAATCTATAACAAAATGAAACCTAGTTAATCATAACACAACAACATTCAACACAACAAACTCATCAAAACTCAAGGATACTTACTTGGGTTTTCCTTTTTTGAAGGGTATGTGGGAGCAGCTGGTCTATCACATGTACTTTTATTATGTCCAGTTCTCTTGCAATTGGAGCATGTCGCGGTTCTTCCATCTCTTGTGAGTTTGTTTGGATTTTTTTATGACTCATGAGATTCCTTTATCCTAGCATACTTCTTTGGCTTTCCTCTTTGCTTCCTTTTTTCAGGCACCTGAATAGGTCCATTCTCTTGAGGTTTCCACAATTTTTCACCCCTCACATGTTTAATATTGGCTGAGTAAGTTTATTGCCACCAACTTGTCAAGAAGTGTTTATCCACATAGCTGACCAAACATATATTTAATTTGACGAGTAGAGCTCAGAATCACTTCTTTTAAAACTTGCTATATAGATTTTCACTTCTGTTATAGAAAAAATTGTAGAAAATTTCAAATATATATTTAAAGTTGTAGAAAAATTTGTAAAATATCATATATTTTAAAACAAAACAAAAACTCTAAAACATTCTATATTTTAAACAGAAAGAGTAGCAAATAGTTAATGCGGCCAATCTTTGAGAAAACATTATTACGCTCATAAACATTGTGGAAATACAACTTTATAGCGCAAAAACGAAGTCAAAAATTGTTTTACTTTACCTACTAAACTAGAATACAAAATCTATACGAAAATTGTAAACATGGCTTATAACTTAAAATTTTGGCACATCATCAACTCTTTTTAAATCTTTATATATGTATAGTCTTAAATTACAAGATGCGATCTATTTGTGATGTCTAATCTATTTATGATAAATCTTATTATATAAAGTATGGTTTTCAAAGTTAATAACTCACATGATCGTGACACGTGTCAATTATATCTATCAGAGATTTTGCCATGTGTTAAATAGTTTTTTCCTTTTTAATAATTAAAAAAGTAAAAAGATAAACATAAACATTCTTAAAATGTAAAAAGATAATTATAAGAAAATTATACCTATATTTCCATAAAAGTTTTTGTCATGTAGCAACTAAAATTTCTGTTTTTAAGAACTTAAAAATTGTAAAAATATAATTATAACAAATTATAAATATAAACAGTTTAAAAATAAAATATACTTATTATAAAGAAACTATATATATATATATAAGAAAATAATATATTTTTTCCATAAAATCGAAATTATAAAATTATGTTAAACTTTTTATTTGTAAGTTACTAACTGTACAAAAAAGGATTTAAAATAGAAAATTAAAAAAATTATACAATGAGTTATTAATCTTATAACAAAAAAGATTGTAAATACTCTCATCTATATAAACAAATAGAGTGTTTCATATTTTCTCACCAAGTAAACTAATTTCTTCATAAATTCTACCATTGCTTTAACTTCATTCTATTGGTAAAGTTTTTCTTTCTTTTTTGGTCATAAATTATTTTTAGGATAATATTTATAAACTAATCTTTGACTCAAAAATAGTTAAGAAAATAGCCATGAGTCATAAAACTTTAGAAACTAACATTTTTGAGAGATGTGAAAATTCAAAATGGCCCTCAAACAAAAGACAAACATTCAACATCATATTGTAATTTGAAAAAAACATGAAATAAATACTAATAATACAAAATCTGAAAATAAAGAAACCATTACTCGAATATTGACGACGGAAGACAGACATCCAACGAGAATTAGAGAAAAAATAATATCATTTAATAAAATAGCATGTCATAGTGAAATAAATAGGAGTAGAATGTAATTTTTACATGGAGGTGACGATGGTGGTGGTTGATGGTTACGAAGGTAGTGATAGGGTGATTTTAAAAAATAACATAAATCATGTAAAAATTACATGCATTTATTATTTGTTGGAAATATATCATGTTATTTATAAAAAAACCTTTCAATCACTATGATTTTTTAAAAATAGCATGTGATATTTAGCTCCAAATAATATATGATGATAGCGGTAAATTAAGAATTATGAACAACAATTGACATAGGCTAGAATTGTTATCGGAGAGGTTCGGTCCGGTGTCGGAGGAGATAAAGAAGATGGAGAAATAAGAGTAGTTGGAAAAATATGAGAAGAGGTGGTAGAGTGGTATTGGTGTTGATGACAGTGGTTCAACCTTGGTGGTGGTAACGATAAATGTTGATGAAGATATTAGGTTGGAATTAGCGAGATTCGGTATTGATGGTGGTGGTGGGACTCGGTGGTGATGCACAACGAATGAGAGAATTGGAGATAGGAAAAAAAAAGCTATGGTAGTGAAGAAATCCGAGAGAGAGAAGGAGAAAGAAAGGAAAAATCCAGCAAAAATAAGATAAATCTAATGAGAGAAATAGAGATATTTGTGATTTTTTCGCCGGCGAGAGGAAGTAAAGAAAAGATAACGAAGAAAAAATGAGTAATATGTGCCAAAAATTAACAAAACCATGTAACAAAAGACATTGTTTAGTCATTGTAGTCAAATGACTAAAAAAAAATAGACATTGTTTAGTTAAATGTTATTTTCTTATTTTCTTTTTAGTATAAAGTTATTTTGTGCATATTCCCTAATTCTTATAATTTTTTTTTTTAGGATGTCTCATATTATCAAGTAAAGATATACAACGTGAATAGAGACTGTCTCATATTTTACCTTTTTTTAAATTTCACAATTCTAATATGACGCCAAAATTTTTTAAACATAAAAATTAAAAATTAAAAATGATAACTGCGACCGGCAACCCGTGCAACGCACGGGTCCATATCTAGTAGTCTATTAAACATTAGACATCCATTGATTTTTTTTTTCCGTAAAGAGTGTTCAACTGATACAAGTTTTTGGTCTCTGCGATTGCTGAGCAACATTACATCCTTTGATTTTCTTGGTATATGCAAGTCACAACGTAAATATAAATATCTTTCAAAGTAAAACAAATATGGGTTGTTAAATGTAATAAATCTTCCCAAAAATCAAATGTAAAAAGCGGTAGGATTTCATCTAGTAACTACTGATTATACAAAAGAAAATCGAAGCAAACAAAATGGGGTACTCTTGAATGATATGCCCACAAAATAACACACATAACAAGGGATACTGTTGAAAGAGCCACACATTGCATTTAACAATGGCGGTGATAATGGCACCCATAATGGCAAGCACGACTATAGTCAACCCCAAATTGATCAAAGGTAGTGTTAACGTCGCCAAATGCATCACAATTCTCTTCATTCTTATCGAATTAACCATTTCCTCAACCTTGGATTCATTCCCTTCCGCACGAAACCGCGAAATCAGCAAACCTGGTACGCTCATATCCAGCTTCGGTCCTGTCGGTTGCCATTTTTGATATATCTTCTCTGCTCCTTGTACATCATCCAGCTTCAACAAATAGCTAATCCTAATTCGATATTCATCATCCATCAGCTTTCCTTCCTTCTTGTACTTATTCCATAACGGGTCCAGATAGTCTCTTTTAAAATCGCTTACTATAGACAAAACATTAAGCTCAATGGGTCTATCGATCTTCACATTGTTTTCCATCATTTCATATTTAAGCTTCTTGACCATATCTCGTTTATTGAGTTTACGGTAGAGAGAAATCATAGTGTCGAACGGGGAAGGTTTCGAGAGGAAACCGAGATCTCTCATCTTCTCAAACGTGTCCTCAGCTTTATCTAGTGTTTTCTCAGATTTAGTGTAAGATCTCAAGAGATTTTCGTAGACAGAGTAATCCCTCATGTTTTCGGGGATTCTTTCGAAAAATTTCTCCGCTTCTTCCAAACCAAGTACAGTCTCAACCAGATTAAGTCTAGCTGCATAATCCTCCGGAAAAACATTAAAGACCCTTTGTTCACACATCCACTCCGATGCCTAACACATTACAAAAGTTCCTATAAAAACTTATATATACTACTTACGAAGGACAGAGATTAAAGATTGAAACATGACTAACCTCAAGGGCTTTAGAAAACTGTTCGGTGGAACGAAAATCTTCAACGAGGCCTCTGACATAAGACGGCTTCACTTGATCCCCTAGTTCACGCCATCGTTCTAAATGCGTCTTCACAGCCGATACGGTTTTGTAGGAGCGACGAGTCAAACAATGGTTGATATATACTATGATTAGCGTCGTTGTAGAATCTGCGTCCTGATCATCTCTACAGATATGGAGAAGAACTATTAAAAACTTAGGGTTTCCGTGATTTTGTATTTCAGTTGGTAATTCGTGAGAGTATATATGGGCTTTGCTCCAAATCTTTTCAAGAAAGCCTTTCTCTCTTGTTTCGCAAATTTCTTAATACAATTTATATAATTTTAAATGTAATTTATACAATGTAATGTAAAACGGAAAAATGTCGAACAATGCGTGAATTTTTAAATTTTGGACGGAAAAAACATAAACTTTCGAAATGTCATTTAAATCATAAAGTTTAGTTTGACTTTTTGATAAATGGTGAAGTTTCGTTGACTTAACCATTTCGGACATGTCGTTAACTCCGTTTTTGATAAAATTAAGTCTAGCTAAATAATATTCCGGAAAAAGATTAAAGACCCTTTGTTCACAAATCCACTCTGATGCCTGACACATAACACAAAAGGTTCATATCAAAACCTATACTACTTCCAAAAGACAGAGATTAAAGATTGAAACTTGACTAACCTCAAGGGCTTCAGAAAACTGATCGGTGTCACAAAGATCTTTGATGAGGTCTCTAACGTCAGAAGGCTTCTTCACAAAATGTCTGTGTCTTTTCAAACCAGAAATTTCTATATACATACAAAATACCACAGAAGAGAAACTAAGCATCAAAATCAGTTTCAAACAAGAAATTTCGCAAAAGCATTGGTTAGTCTATCTTTTCGATCTGAAGATGGAGAAAAAGTTGGATGTCTTTTTTCCAGAAACTCACCTCAAAACACGAAGAATCAGAAATAATTACGATTTATATCATAATGTAATTTATACAATTTATATAAATGTATTAAAACACGAAGAATCAGAAATAATCTGAGATATTGGAATTACGATTTACTGAGTATTAATTTATAGAGGTTTTACTGTATAAATTTTGAAAGCCATGAAAACAATATGTTAATTGACAGACCACGCTTCTTTTTACAAATAACACTCAAATGGGCTTAATGACATATTCATATAGGCCCATTATTAACAGTCCTGAGTCCATTTAGTAATTTTGTTTGTTTAATTCGTTATTTATCTTAATACATGTTATTAATATAATATTTGAACATATGTTTTTTTGTTAGGAATTTCGTTGTCTTTATTTCCCCAAGAAAAAAATGCACCGAACAAAACGAAGAACATCTCTCAAATTCCAGAAGCATTTGCGAGGTTTCTCATAGAAAATTCAGTACTTCGTCTCCTTTCATACTTCTACTTGTTCAATTCTTGAATCCTATGTATAGGTAAGCCTTTTATTGAATCAGATTTATAGTTTTACAGATTTTGTATATGTCGATTGAATTTGCAATCTTTGAAATTTTCAGTTTTAATAGTATAAATTCGCCACGGATTTGCAAGTAAGCGGATCTTATACGTGTAATTATTCTCAATAAGCTATTTTAAAATTTAGGTATTTCCTTAAGTTGAACAGTTAATCTCGAGTATACAGAGCACTATTTTGTTTGAAATTTACGTAATTTAGTATATTTTGTATTAACTGTAATCTGATTAGTTTTTTTTGTCTATTCAGGTGATATATGAGTTGCAAGTAAATGAAGACTATGGAGGATAATATGTGATTTTGTCATTGTAGGTTTTCTGAAATAATTAAGCTGTTAAAGGTTTTAGTGAGATGTCAACTTTTAAAGTTTTGTTTTATAGATTTGCTGATTTAGATACTCCTTTTGAGCTAATGTTAAGAGGCTATATATATATATATATATATATATATATATATATATATATATATATATAGCACATTGATTTACTCGATGAAAACTTCGGTGTACATGTTAGGAAAAAAGATACCTAGCTACACGAAGTATGCTACAATACATGGCTACACATCCGAAGTTTAAAAATGTATCCCTAACTACACAAACTATATGTATCGCATGCCCACATATACGAACTATATGTAGTCATGTCGCCAACATCACGAACATTTTTTTCCGGTACACTTTTCGCCGGAATCCGGCATTGACCAGTTTGACCGGCGTTGACCAACATAAATATTAAAAAAAAAAAAAATTTAGTTTTTTAATATTTAGAAAATTATGTTATTGAATCATTTATAATATTGTATAATTAAAAATAAATATACAATATTCAATATAAAAATATTTTGTATATATATTCAATGCATTGATTTTTATAATTAGTTAGTTTCAATAATTTCAAAACTAAACTAAAAATAAAATAAAAACCAATTAGGTAAAATAATTGTAAATATGAAATTTTCTATATTCTCTAGTCTAAACTTTTTTGTATAATATGTTGTTAATTTTTGTATCAAAAATTATTACGAAAAATTCTTTTAATAATACAAAAAAAATTAACAACATATTATTAAAAAAAACTTTAGACTAGAGAGTATTTAAAATTTTCTATTTATAATTATTTTACCTAATTGGTTTTTGTTTTATTTGTAGTTTAGTTTTGAAATTATTGAAACTAACTAATTATAAAAATCAATGCATTGAATATATATACAAAATATTTTTATATTGAATATTGTATATATATTTTTAATTATACAATATTATAAATGATTCAATAACATAATTTTCTAAATATTAAAAAACTAATTTTTTTTTTTAATATTTATGTTGGTCAACGCCGGTCAAACTGGTCAATGCCGGATTCCGGCGAAAAGTGTACCGAAAAAAACTGTTCGTGATGTTGGCGACATGACCAGGGGCGGACCCACTAAGACTTAAAGGGGGTCAGCTGACCCACCTAAAATTCTGAAATTGTGTTATAGTCCTTTAAGATTTGTAGTATTGTTTATATTTCTTTCTCTTTTGACCCTCCTAAAATTCTGAAATTATGTTACAGTCCTTTAAGATTCATAGTATTGTTTATATTTCTTCTGTTATGACCCTCTAAAAATTATTAATTTGTATTTAAACCCTTTAAATTTTATAATAGTTTTTTACTTCTTACTTTTTTTAATACAATTCATCACATATTTTTACCTTTTTTGTTTGCTTCACCCATAAATATTGAACCTAAAATGTGTTTTTTTTTAAGTGTTTTTTGCTTTTTTATTGTTTTAAAAATTATTAATTATTTTAGTGATATTTTGACCCCCCTAATAAATATTTCTAGGTCCGCCACTGGACATGACTACATATAGTTCGTATATGTGGGCATGCGATACATATAGTTTGTGTAGTTAGGGATACATTTTTAAACTTCGGATGTGTGACCATGTATTGTAGCATACTTCGTGTAGCTAGATATCTTTTTTCCTATATGTTATTCAGATGAAGGCTGTTTTGGGAGTCACATGAGACTTTGGAAGAGCTGCAGAGATTTTGTCATCGTAGCTATTTTAGAATCTTTATTTTTCAGGTTAGTGAGATCTCAATTTATATAAAAGTTTTCGTTTCTTACATTTACTATTGTTTCTTACTACACGAACTAGTAGATAATATATATGACATAGTTTTTGGTTTTGTTTCACAAGTATTTTTAAAGTTTAAATTGTTTATAACAATATTAAATGTTTTAAGGTGAAGGTTCCTTTGCAAGTATGATTTGAATATGAAGAAGAGAAGAGAAATGTTGGCATTGGAGATATCCAGAAATATAAGAGTAACAGGTTAGTGTGAAGGTTATTTTTACATTAGTGTTTATATTCGTAATCGCCTTAGCATGTTAAATTTGATAGTAGTATATAATAGATGAAAACTACTTTACGTTTTGAAAAGTTGTTTGATATTAAGTTTTAACCTCTACTGCTACTGAACATGAAAAAGTTGACATAATATTACTTAAGCAAACCTGTTACTATTAGTCGATACAGCTCTCGTTTTTAGGGTTTACCCTTGTAAACATGAAAATATATTTGCGTATCCGAATTTTAAACAATCTGTAATCGAATATGCTTGATTTGATAGGATTAGAATATTTCGTTATTTTCAAATTAGGTAAATATAATAACTGAGATTAGATCTTATTGAAAACAGTTATATCGCATTTGGATTTGTTCCTTATATTACATGATTTATTACGATAGAATCAAGTAATTAGATTCGGTAGTTATATAGATTATAGAAATCTCTTTAAATTTGAACTTATATTTTTGGCAATTATTTTCTGTAACAGATACAGAGAATATGGAGTGAAATAATTCCATGACCGTATCAGGCAGCATAGGATCCGCGTGTTTATCCGAAATAATAACCCATGATCCTCTTTCTGTAACTCATTAAATTGTCTTATTTAACCTTAAACGAAAATTTTAATTCACTCTTTGAATGCAAAAATGTCAATGGCATTCCTTGTAATATCTTACCCTCTATAAAGTTATTTATTTTTTAGTGATTCCCAATTAATAGTATAGATGCAAGTCACAGCATAAATAAAAATATCTTTGGAAGTAAAACAAATATGGGTTATTACATGTAATAAATCTCCACAAAAGTCAAATGAGAAAACAAGTGTAGCAGCCTTGGGATTTCATCTAGTTGATGATATAATAATAGCAAAGCGAACCAAAGATAATGGGGTGCTTTTGAACGAGATACACACAAAATACCACACATAAAATGGGGTACGTTTTAAGGAGCCACACATTGCAACCAAAAATGGCGCCCGCAATGGCAACTATACTTGCAAGCAGGTAAACATTCGCCACCAAAAAAGTCGAACATACTTTTAGCATCCCAATTTTCTTCTTTCTTATCGAATCAACTAATTCTTCAACCTTGGATCCATTCCCTTCCTCACAAAACCGAGAAATCAGCAAACTCGGTATGCTCATATCCAGCTTCGGTCCTACCGGTTTCCACTCTTCATATAACTTCTCTGCTCCTTGTACATCGTCCAGCTTCAATAAATAGCTAATCCTACTTCGATATTCTTCATCCGTCATCTTTCCTCTCTTCTTAATATAATTCCACACAGAATACATTGAATCTTTACAAGTACTCAAGATAGTCAAAACATTTAACTCCTTGTGACTGTCGAACCTCACATCGTTCTCCATCATTTCACGTTCAAGCTTCTTGACCATATCTTTTTTCTTGAGGTGACGGTAGAGACTAATCATCGAGTTGAATGGGGAAGGTTTCAAGAGGAAACCGAGATCTCTCATCTTCTCAAACGTGGCCTCAGCTTTATCTAGTGTTTTCTCAGATTTAGTGTAAGATCTCAAAAGATTGTCGTAGACAGAGTAATCCCTCATGTTTTCGGGGATGCTTTCGAAGAACTTCTCTGCTTCTTCCAAACCAAGCACAGTCTCAACTAGATGAAGCCGAGCTGCATAGTCTTCCGAAAATATATTAAAGAACTTCTGTTCACACATCCACTCCGAAGCCTAACACATTACAGAAGTTGATATCCCTATCTATATATACTAGAACACTGATTAAAGTCAACGTACGCGAGTCAGAGTTTAAAGATTGAAATTAATAACCTCAAGTGCTTTAGAACACTGATTAAAGTCATGAAAATTCTTGATGACGCCTCTGACGTAAGACGGCTTCACTTGATCCCCTTGTTCGGACCACCATCGTTCTAAATGCGCCTTCACAGCCGATAGGGTTTTGTAGGAGCGACGAGTCAAACAATGGTTGATACTATGATTAGCAAGAAGACGCCTAGACTGTTGTTGAAGAATCTGCGTCGTCCTGATCATCTCTAGAGATATGGAGAAGACTTAGGGTTTCCCTGATTTGGTATTTTTGTTGGTAATTCGTGAGGGCTAACTGTATTTTATAAGATGCGCAAGTATATATATTTTGCTTGTAGAACAGGTTATGTTGAAACAAACAAAACCGACTTGAGTAGTTTATATGGGCTTTGTTCCAAATCTTTTTAAGAAAGCCTTTCTCTCTTGTTTGGCAAATTGATTCGTACTATTTATATAATTTATATGTAAGGATATCTATAACATCTGACCATCATAGAACCATAAATTAGTTCTCTCTTCTCACCACTTTTTTACTTTTACTGTATATGTCAAAAAATACCATTTAATCCTTATGTATCTCTCTTTCTCTTTCATGTATCTCTTTCCTTTTTCTCTTTTGTTTCTACGACAACCTTTAAAACCACAGATATTCAACAAAAAATTAAAATGGTTTCGGAAAAAAATTGAGAGAAAGCCAAAGCTGGCCGGAGAAGCAAGTTGGTGAGTTGTGTGGTTGACTTGTAACAATGGTGGTTTTAATTCGACGATTACAAAAATCAAGGGAAAAGAATAGATTTTGTCGGTGGAAAACGACCATTGTTTTAATCGTCATGATTCAAGCCGTGTTTAAAAATGATAATTGTCGATTTGATTTTGTGACAGAGAGAACCGGTCGATTGTGTTGTTCCCGACTTCGATTCCATGAAGGTTGAGACCAAGAGACAATGGTGGTTTCAAATCCCGGTGGTAATTTCGAAACTCGGCGGAATTGTGGAATGAATAATTTGTTAGCTGGGTTTTGATGAGGTTTATTGAGCAAAAGAGGGGAATTGGCATCATTGGCAGCAACGACCATTGCCTCATTTTTCTGGGTTCGATTGGGTTATATGGATAAAAATTTAATTAGCAACACATACAAAAATGCTAACATATAAGTTAACGTGATAACTAAATTATCATTATAAATAAGTATGCTAATATAAAATTTATCGGTAATAATTATATTATTAGAATAAATAAACATGTTATTATATTAGTTAGTTGATACTAATCATATAGTCAATTATTTAACACGATAAAGTTGAGCATACGTCGTGTAAGTTACATGTTAATATAAATATTATCTATATATCAAATATTTTACCATGTTCATACAAATATTATTCACATATTTAATATGTTAGCACATTATCATTCTATATTAACATATAATTTGTAACTTATCGCGATACTAAATTATTTAGCATGTGTCATCCGCATATTAGCGTATCGAAATGAACAGTATCGCCTACATATTAACCTTTATTTTAATCAGTGGTATTTTTGTAATTAATCCAAAAACGAAGGATATTTTTGGTTTACATTTTCTTTCTCTTTCTTACTTACCTAATTTTCAAATAACCATGGATTTAAATCTAATTTTTTGGTCAATTGTGGTTTTAAATTAATATAGCCCTATATGTAATTTATATAATGTAATGTAATTTGTTCATATCATTTATACATTTATATCATAATGTAATTTATACAATTTATATAGTCAGTTATATAGGCCAGTCTTATCTCATTGATCTATAGGGAATGGTTCAGTTATATAACCAAATTCATTATAAGTCCCAAAAAGTTAGTGCAAAGTGAAATAGAGTTGCATGCAATTCGAATGGAACCAAGTCTTTAAAATTATTCAAAATCAAAGCAAAGAACAGAACAACAAAACAAGAGACAAAGCTTAAACTAGATCTTGTAGTTGAAAAGAAACAATCAGAAGCAGTTTGAATCATTCTCTCTAAATTAACATAACACTCTCTACGTAATGCAAGAAAGTAAATACTTTATAAAAATCTCTAAACTTATACTTGGTGTTTCCTTCAAGCTCAACACTTCTAACCTTGTTGCTTTTGTGATCCAGAAAGTAAATAACCAACTCTTTAAAATAGTTAGGTGCAAAGATAATCTCTCCCATATTAGAAGTTCCCAAGATTTCTAAACCTTCATGCAATTTACCAGTAACACCTGTATGAATAGATATCCGTTGTTCTTTCGACCATCGTTGTTTCTTGGCGTCCTCTAAAACCCACAACTTGAAATCTCCATAACGGTATTCAGAGACATCAGCTACAGCTACTTTTCCATGGTAGTTTATCAAAGTAATTCGATTTGATGATTCAAGGCCCTCGGGAAATTTGGAAGCAACTTCCAAACTTTCAGACCTCAAACCAAATCTCACCAAGAATAATGGTTCATCCATGGTAAAACTACTAGAAGCACTGTAATATAAAACACCGTCTATGCACACAGAGATGGTTCCAGGATAGTGAGGACTGCTGCATTGGATCATTCTTCATGAGCAATTTTGAGCTCCCAATGTGAGGACTTGATGTCGACAAAACGGTGTAACATTGGTCAAACACAATACTTTATATTGTGCATGGATTGGATCATATCCTAAAAAGCTTCCAATGATCGTTTCACTGGATTCCAAAGTGGGTAAGTTTATGGACTTACCTATGCTAGGATTACATATGATTTGTTCTTTCCCATATAAAAAGCTAATCAACCCATGGACGTAGCTAGGCTTTTGGTATCGCATTTGCTTCAAATGACACACCGTACTTGATTCAAAATCAGGTGGTTCCTCCCCAACTAGAGCTTCAAATTCGTTAATGTTTTGGGCAAGATTATCATACCAACGGGCAGCGAACCGGTCCGGTAAAACCAGTAAGTTTGGCTCAAATAGTGGAGTTGAAACATGAGTTGATTTGGAGAAAAAGTACCAATTTTCTTGATAACCTTTTATTTGGTTTTTGAAAGCAAAGAGGAGGCGGTGCTGCTTATTCTTTAGGGATGATCGAAGCGAGAAGGATCTGATGAAATCTTGATTGCGGATGATTTTGGCCCATAGCTTCGATACGCAAACAAACCTGGCTAAAGATTTCGCGGGCAAGTTTAAGAAGATCTCGAACAACATGTCAATGGGAATTGGATGATCCAGAGATTGCAGATTCTTCTTCGTCTCTGCCATTTCAACTCTGCTTTGTCTTCAGCCCTAATAATATATTTCTCTTGAACCCCAAGATATCAAGAAAACACACAATGTTATAGAAAAAAAAAGAAAAAAAAAATCAGCTATTTATAAATGAAATATTTCACTTTCACCCTCTCGACACTTGTCATCTTTTTGTTTATAAAAAAGTTATATTAATTACACAATTAATTAAAAGACCAAAGAAATCACTCCACTATTAAATTAACTTTTGTAATAATTATGAAATAAAATGAAAAAATAAATCAATCCAAATTTCACTCTCACCCTATTAGACAACTTGTCATCTTTTCATTTACAGAACTGATACAAAATATATAGTAATTACAAATTAATAATAAAAATACCAAATAAATACCCACTATATATACCAAACAAACAAATCAAATTGACTTTGCAATATTATGAGATTAAGAAATAGAATGCGACAAGTCTTAAAATATTATTCAAAAGTCAAAATAAAGAACGGAACAACAAATCAAGAGATAAAGCTCACACTAGATATTTTAGTTAAGAAAAATAGAATAACAAAACAAGCAGAAGCACGACATTTTGAAACACTCTCTCTAAATAACTAGGTTGCATGGAAACGGAAACGGAAACACGGCAGCGAAACGTGTGGAAACGTGGAAACAGATTTTTTAAAAAATTACGAAATGGAAACGTTTTGGAAACGTATATATATATATATATATATATATATATATATATATATATATTAAACATCAAAAGAATATTAAATATATATTTTAAATAACATAATCATTAATAAAAATATTAAATATTGTAACTAAAATAATGATAACAACACTCAAAATCAAAAATTAAGACCATATATCATGATCACAAATAATAAAATAAGTGTTTCATATTCTTCATACTAATTAAGTTTTTAAAGAAAAAATATCAAATATATACTTATATTTTTAAAATAATTAATGTTTATGTTTCAAAAGAAAAAATTAAGTTTCCGATGTGTTTCCAAAATGGAAACGTACGTTTCCATCGCGTTTCCAAATTGACTTTTTAAGGAAACGTGTTTCCATTACATTTTCACCGTTTCCAAGAGTTTTCGATTCCGAAACGTTTCCGAAACGGAAAACGCACCTCGGATGGAGTTTCCATGCAACATAGCTAAATAAACATAACACTCTGTACATAATGCAAGAAAGTAACTACTATATTATAATCTCTAAACTTATACTTGGTGTTTCCTTCTAGCACAATACTTCTAATCCGGTTTATTATGCGCTCTATAGTTTCCCGAATCACTGCGAGAGTCTCATGTCTTTCTAACAAAAAAATTATTATTTGATTTGTTCTATGATTTTATCATTCCTTACTGTATCCGGTTTCATTACCAGACAAAAAATTCACCCAAAGATAAATGAAATGTGGCATTTTATAGCTGAAATAAAATACCACAAATTAGAAGTAAAAAGTTATTAACCAACTCAATTAAAATATGTCTCTCAGTAAGTTATAACATAAAATGGAGGGTTAAATTTGGTTTACTAACGTAAAAATACATTAACTATTGATTATAAATAGCAAAGAAAGAAAGAAAAAAAAAATATAAAACGTTTTAATATATAATGTATATATATTATTGTACTATAGTTCAGGTCTCCAATTCCTTTCTTTTTATGCAGAGTTTAGTGTTAATCCTCAGAGCCCAAGGTAATGTCTGAGCCATTGCTTTACCTCGTCCCAATTATGTTCCCTGTACATGGCAAAACCCATATTTAGAGACATATATATGTTCAAACAAATGGTAACTTATAAAGCAAAGTAAAGAGAAAGAATTCATGTTTAGACCCTTCGTATTTTCTTAGCGTGCTCTGAAATCCAGCCATGAGAAGGGAATGAGCACATTTGTGTGTAAATTCGTACGGCACCACATCGTTAGCTGTAACACATAAGATTCCAAAATCAGCGTGATCTCGCGCGCGATGGTTATCTAAATTGTAGAAAAGTTATATAGATGATACACATACAATGTGTAAGTAAGATTGGTAGTGATATAGGACGATCTCTACCCCCGGGGTTAGATGCTATGTTGTTTTGTAAGCTTCTACAAGAGTGTTTTAGGTTTTATATGTTTAAAATGTACGTAAATTCGGTTAAAAAATTAGTAGTAAGTGAGTGACATTAGGACTCGAAGACGCTACCTCCAGACAGGAAGCCAACCATTGAGCCCTATAACAACTCGTGGCCTTATCTGAAGCCGTTGATTAGTGTCATAACAACCCTTACTCGCAAGGTAGAGAGCTTGCGCTGCACCCAAGCCGATACCTCCTATTCCTATCATGACTATTCAAACCAGAGATTTATAAATTTGATATATATATAAGGTCTAAAGTATGTATATTAATTTAGAGTGTAGAAAATTATAAGTTACTGTTTGGGGGTTCTTCAGATAAAAGGTTAGCAATGGATAAAGCAGCATGATTTAATGACTCCACATCATCTTGCATGTTTTCAGAAATTTCTGCGATATCGAACCCTGATTCATCAAAGAAGAGTGTAGATACAATAATATATTAGAAACATTAAATGATGTTTTTAATGAAATTTGCAATCAACTGATCTTACATGCATTGGTTTCCATTCCACCTAAGATAGTAATGGGGCGTGAAGGAGCAGTTGGGCAAATCCACTTAATCTACACAAAATCGTATATACACTTATTATTAGAAACTTTAACCATATTTCTATTAGGAAATAAGAATTGTGACAAAAGGTTCTTGTTAATCGATCCATACGTTTTTAAGACCCATCTGTCTCGCAAATCGAGTTGAACTGCAGATATAATAGATAGTGAGAAACACTTCGAATACAAAGAAGAACAAGATTCAAAGTATATACTTTTTAGTGAAATGAGTTTAATATCTCATAAGAAAATATAAATTCAATAGTAAGTAAGTAATATACAATAGATGATATTTATTACTCTTTGTGGTGCAAACCATTTATTCACAAATAAAATGTCAACACAAAAAAAACATTTTTTAAAAAAAATTAATACTTGTAGAAAATGCCAAAATTTAACTTTTCTTGTTTAAGTTTTAAAATATAACTTAGTTGAATTTATTCCAAAACATGTTTATGGAACATCTCTCTTTGATCTTTGGAATACAATAAAAATAAATAAATAAAGAATGTATTAATATTACTTAGCGCTTGTCTCGCCGATATCATGTAGCCAGACTATAGTGGCCTTATGAGTTCCTATGGGTCCAAAAGATAGAACGTCTTCAAATTTAATACCCCTTACATTTCTACTAGCTGTAAAAAGTTTAACATAGGCAAATTCATTAATCAGTTCCACGTAATAAATATATGAGAGAAAATAGTCCAACAACTTTGAAAAGTATGGAAGAAACATGAACAATCACAACAAAGAAAAAAACATACTAGAAGCCATGCTTTAATATGAATAAGTTCTTGTTTCCGAAGAGTCTTTTATTTTTTTCTTTTGAAAACTTTTATGTTGCACTAGAGATGATAATTCGAAAACGTAAGGAATGTAAGGGGGGACATTGTGTATTTATATATAGAACGAATGAATGTTATGGAGAAAATATTTGTATTAAAAGTTGGATGCATGACAAAAATCTTACTCTTAAAAGTTGGATGCATGACGAATATCTTTATCAATAAAAGTTTACAGTTAATAGAATTTATTTCTTAATTCTTTTATAGTTATTCCAAGTTTAAATTTCAATAAATGAAGATCAGGAAAAAAAAAGATGGATGTAACTCAATTAATGGATGTTTTTAGCTGTAAATGAAAATCATATACTCCTCATCAACTATATATATTGAATGGTACAATAACTATATATATTGAATGGTTCAATAACTTTTCCTTAAAACTACAATTAGTTTTGTCCAAATGTTAGTTTTAAAAAAAAATATTAAGGATTTATTTCATGAAATCTATTTATATAATATGATAGTTTTCTATACTCTTAAGTATCCACACAATCATTTTAAACATCCAATTCAAAAAAACATCATCAATCAATATTTTTATTTTATTTTTGTGTGTTTTTATGAATAAAAACCATCATTGATACTAATTCTAATGGGGCTTCCGCAGTTTTTTTTATTTTTGTTGGTCGACACCGTTCGCAGCCAACAAGAAGTCTCGAGATTTAACAAGTTTTGAAGATTCTAGAATTGCCCAGAAGACTTTCCTATTTACAATTTAGTCACTACATGTTTTTGAGACATTATAAATAGTTTTTAGGGTCATTGTTTGGACCTATCTTGCATCTTGCTTTCTGCTTTGTAATTCTCTGAAGTTGAAACCTTTTGAAGATAATTGGAGATAGCTATTTTCAGAGATTTCAAAACTCTGTAGAGATAAGATTTTTTCTAAACTCTATTCTACTTTTGATTTCCTTTATGCAATCTTATTCAAACATGCTTTTTGTTTCCATGATCATGTCTTAGTAATTTCTCTGTTAGGTTTAGGCTTCTCATTAAGGATTTAGATGAATTAATAGATCGATAACCTATTAGGATTAATCTATAGAGTTTTTCACTTTTGATTGTTCTTAATGCTAGTTTTAGAGTAGCTAACTAGAACTTGATTTTAGGATAATAGGTTAGACATGAGAGTGCGCTTATTACCTGATATATCTTAGGTGGGCAGAAATAACTAGATTCAGACGAGAGTTGGTCTAGATATTTGTGTGAACATATCAAACCTAATTTTAGTGCTTGTCTAATTTTAGGAGTTTACAGACGAGAGTTGGAACTTCCTGCTATTTGTGGATGTCGGATTCACACACTCAAGTATTTTTATTAAGTAGGAAAGATTACTCTTGAGGGACAAAAATGAATATGTAAAAACTTATAAATTGCTACGAAAATTGCTATATTATTTCTTTTCTTGAGAGGAAGATCCCCCCTTACATGGCCATTGGCCTTTGTATTTACACCTAAGAAAACGACATTAAAATGGCTAATTAAGTATAATTATTCTCTCTTAAATGTGTCCGTTTTGATCTTTGGCTTTAATGCTTCAACGTTTGAATTTGAGTTGACTCTGATCTTCATGGGCCCCGCCTTTTGGCCCAAATGTCCTTAAACCGACTCAACCGTGACTTCGATACCAGACTTATGCCGAAATGCAGTCACTTCGGATTCTACTTGTGGTGATACCCACTTCGACTGTTCCTTTGGCTCACTGATCCGACGGGCTTTATCCTTTATGGGTCTTCCTCTTGTCTACGTGGCAATCTTTGGTTGGTCCCGGACTTCTGGTGCGGGATCCGACACCAACAATTAGCCCCCCAAGTTCTTCGAAGTGCCATTCCAATTCGGAGAACTTTAAATGCTTAAATGGCCAAAGATTGCGCTCGAGAATCTTTCTGATTTCCCGCCGAAAATCTCATCACTCCTTTAATTTCGGTACTAGCCATTTCTACTCGAGTGACATCTGTCATCATTATGACCGTATCTTAATTATTTACTATTAAAGCGGGAACCTTTCCACTTCCCCCACGATTCCCAAGGCGGTTTCACCATTATCACTTAACTTCCGTGAGGTAACTTCTTTCATCATTACTTCTTTTACTTTTGCGTTTTTAGCCGAAATTTCTCTCTTCTCTTTCTTCGCCGACTCTTTATTTGCCGGATTTTAAATTCCTCATCTTCTCCGATGATTTCTGACTCCGAAAGACCTGAGTCTCCATCCTTTGAAGGTGGCTCTAGTAACGACGAATGCACTCGTCCTAACGATATCGCTGGTCCGCACTACAGATCCACCTGTACCCTTCAATCGCTAGAGCGATTAAAGGGGCTTTGCCAGATCCCCCCCAGAATCATAGCGGAAGCGCAGATAGCCGACCCTACGGAGTCCCCGGAAAACCACCGTGATGGCTATTTTTGTGTCTATGAAATCTACTTCAAGGGCTGCGGATTGACTTTCCCCCTTCCCGAAGCCTTAGTTCGATACCTAGCGGCTCTTGAGATTGCTTTACCTCAATTAACCCCCAATCTCCTCCGAACTATCCTCGGAATCATAACCGTTGCGGCGGAAGCGGACTACATTATCGGGGTCCCCGAACTGAACGAACTTCTAAGTGTGAGAAGTTCGTCAAAGAAAACAGGATACTTCTCGGCATACCCAAATGCCAATAGAAACGTCATCTCGCACCTCCCGAACAAGGATGAAAACTGGCACCATCCTTGGTTCCTGATTAAGAAAACTCCTGCTTCGATTGGGAATCTTTCCGATGTACTCCCATCAAAGTGGTCTACGAAGCCTGGTAGAGACTAGGTCGTATATTCCTTTCTTGTTCATTTTATTTTTTTTTACTGATCAAATTCGTTGTTTCACTTCGCAGCTTTCATCGCTTCAACTCTCCCGACTGAAGAATTTGTCAAGTTCTTCAAAACAATCCTCGAAGGGGAAACCCTTTGGAATTCTTTCACCCTCGATCGGTTTGTCGAGGCCAACCGAAAACTCAGGATGAGTCCTCCCAATCTACTTCATCGTCTTCCGCCTCCTCCCTCAACTCAGGGAATGTCAGCTCGGGCCCTTACTGCCCAGCGTAAGAAACTCTCCAAGCCGATAGCAGAGGCTTGTGATGAAAACAAGGCGTTCCTTGCGGCCGCCATTGACAAAAAAGATTACAGCAGGACCCTGCTGGTTGATGATAACAGCTCCGAGGGAGCCAGATCCGTTGCTGCTTATAGGCTAACACTTCGTCGCGGACGTCATGACGAACGTTCTCCTCGGAGAGAGCGATCTCCTCGTCGTGATTCTCCTCGTCCTCCCCGAGACGATTTCAGCAATGAACCACTTAAGAATTTGGTTCATAGGAAGACGGACAAGTCATCCCGTAGTGACTCGTCTCCGCGAAGGGAGAAATCAAGGGCCCGGACTGACCGTTCACCTCGATCATCCCCTCCCACTGAACCAATGGGTCCTCCCCGACCTGTTGACATGTCTTCTTCTTCCCAGCCCGACAGCGAAAAGACTGCTCGGAGTGCATCTCCTAAAAAGGGAGATTCTGAATCTCGAGATCGCTTTCAGGTTTGGTGATTTACACATACTCAAACGTTTTTGTCTCTATTAAGATTCCAATTTTTACAACTCTTCCTTCTTCGCAGCTATGGAGAAAGAAGGCAGCGTCTTCCGATGCTTCAAGACCCGATCGGGTTCGATCTTGCCAGACTTCGACAAGTGGCGCCCTGCGATTCGTGAACGCTATTTGCTTCACGCGCATCACTCATCTCGGGTTAGTTCCGTTTTTGTTTTTTTTATTGCATTGCCATTCTGCGAACTGACTCGCCATCCCGAGTTTATGTATAATGCCAGGCTCACGGCGAGCTTAACGACATGATTGAACATTACGAAGGGTTGGTCATCGGACGGGAGAAGGAGATTGACATGTGGAAGAAGAAATTCTCTGCTCTTGAGGCTGAACTCAGTTCTTCTGCCGGCTCCAAGCACGATCTGGAGGACAAGGTCAACAGTTTAACATCCGAGCTTGCGCAGATAAAGGGGGAGCTGCAAGACCAGTACGACCGGAATTACAAACTCCAGGATGAACTTTCTGGTGTTCAGGGTAGACTTCATGAATCCGAATCAACCGCTGATACCCTGAACAACCAACTTATCGAGCTTAACGCGAAGTACAAGGCGCTAGCCAAGTTGCGTGATTCCGAGTTGGCAAGGTCGGCATCGAAAGCCAGAAAAGATGTTAAGGGACGCGGGATGGAGTTGATCCAGGGGGCCATCCGCTTCATTCAAACCGAGAAGGTTAGGTCAGATCTGGAATCAGACGTCAAGGAGCACGAGAGCAACCTGATTCTGTTGGACCAAATCCATGATGCAGATTTCTCCGAGGTGCAAGAGAGGGCCGAACTGTCGACCAATCTTTCTGAAAAGCGGAGTCGTTTGGCAGCTCTTCCTGCTTCGACTTTCAACCCGCATGACTTTGAGGAATTCTTCACAGAATCTCCTCCTATAAGTGAATCGGGTCTAGACTGGGCGGGTAACTTTTGGCTCTTGATACTCACTACCTTTTCTTACCTTGTACCTTTGATTGACTGGAATTATTTTTTCTAGGCTCAAGTGAGACGGAAGACGTTGTCCCACCCGAAGTTCCTGCGGCGCCGGAGGTCACTCCGGAGGATGGTTGTACCGTGGAGGGTGGTCCAGGAGCTTCATCTGATCAAGCACCAGTTAAGGAGGCGAGTGAAACTTTGACAGCTGAGCCGGAGTCCGAGGTGGATGTCGATCCTTAGTGGCTGTGTCCACTTTAAACTGGGGATTGTCCCATTTAGTTTAAACTTAATTTCGAACTTGTTTTTGGCCTAAGGAGGCTTTATCATTTCCTTTGAACAGGATATTTTCCTGAGGAGGCTTTTAAACCTTTCTAGG